TAATAATTATATGTCTTACAATATTTTTAAATTTTAATTAATAATTAATAAAATCTATCATATTTCATCTATAATATTTTTAAAAAATAAATAACCAAACACCAAAATAACTTTCAACCACAGTTATAGCACAGTACAGTTACAGCACAGTATAGCCACAACTAAGCACAGCTACAGCTACAGTCACAACTAAGCACAGCTACAGCTACAGTCACAGCACTTCACAACAATTCCAAACGTAACCTAACTGTAGTTGAAAAAGATTGAGAGAATAATATCAAAAAGTTGTGCCACTTATATTTAGTCTAAAATATTTCTAATATTAAAGGTAAAGACAGAGAAATTAGGATAAAAGAGATAAATATAATAATTAATGGAGGTGCGAGGAAATATGAATACTAAGAATGTTGGCTCAATGCACTCCAAGAGGGAGGTGAGTTGGAGTATCAAAAATTTCTTTTTCCTTGCAACCACATAGCAAAAAAAATCAAAGAGAATAAGGAAGAAAAGCTTGCATAATAACTTTATAGAGGTTTGATCCAACTACTTGGAGCCTTGTCCTCTACTTTGGCTTCACTCACCAAGGATTTTCTCTACACTATCCACCATGAAGAACAAGGGTGGTTTAAAGGTGTCATTCAATCCTTTTATAAGAATATGGATTTTTCTCTTAAATCTCACCCCTTTATAAGACAAACCCAAGAATCCTCACTACAAATCACTCTTGAAGGAATAATCACACCTCTAAGATAACAAAATAAGTAGGGGATTATAAGAAAAGATCACTCAAAGATCAAAATCTCAAATTAAAGCACAATTTGTAGATAAAAGATATACAATGTAAATGCCTAAAACATGTTTTAGATCTTCTACCTTCCATATTTACACCCCCTTGGTCAAAAAATAGTTGTTTCTAATCATTCGGGTTCATTAAATACTTTGTAAATCAATTTAAGTTTGAGAAAATATGCTACAGATTTTGTTAATAAAGTCGGCTTTACCTTCAGAGCCGACTTTGTAGAGCCGGCTATAATGTCCAGAGTTGATTTTTCTGCATTTTTCTTCATTAGAGCTGGCTTTCTACACCAATTTCAGCATTTTTGGTCCATTTTTAGTGCAGTCTAAGTTCATTTACTTTTGATAATATAGATAGGAGAATAATGGGAGAAAAAACAATAAAAAATACAATACTAATAGATGAGTAGGGGTATACTTATATACAAATTTTACACAAAATCTTGACCATTAATCTCTTTATTTTCAATGGTTAAAATTTATTATGACATTATAGATACAAAAATAATTATTTTTATTAAATATGATAAAAAATAAATAAATCTCAATTATTGAAAATGGCGA